AAAATACAATCCAAGAAAACTAGCTACTTTCAATAAAACACAGGAAATAATTAACCTCACTACAGTAAAACAAAAAGCAACCAAGCACACAACCTTATGACCACAGACAACATCAAAATCAAGGGATCTAACAGCCACTGGTCATTAATCTCTCTCAACATCAATGGACTCAATTCTCCAATAAAAAGACACAGACTAACAGAATGGATGCATAAAGAAAACCCAGCAATCTGTTGCATACAAGAAACACACCTAAGGCACAAAAATAGACATTACCTGAGGGTAAAGGGTTGGAAGACTGCTTTCCAAGCAAATGGACCCAAGAAGCAAGCAGGAGTAGCCATTCTAATATCTGATAAAATAGACTTTCAACCAAAATTAATAAAAAGAGATGGGGAAGGACACTTCATACTCATCAAGGGAAAATTCTACCAGGAAGACATCACAATCCTGAACATCTATGCCCCAAATACAAGGGCACCCACATTTGTAAAAGAAATATTGATAAAACTTAAACCACACATAGATCCCCACACATTAATAGTGGGAGACTTCAACACCCCACTCTCAACAAAGGACAGGTCAACAAAACAGAAATTAAACAAAGAAACAATGTCTCTAACAGAGGTCATGAATCAAATGGACCTAACAGACATTTACAGAAACTTTCACCCAAACACAAAAGAATTTACCTTTTTCTCAGCATCCCATGGAACCTTCTCCATGTAGTTGGTCACAAAGTGAGCCTCAACAGATACAAGAAGATTGAAATAATCCCTTGTATCCTGTCTGATCACCATGGAATAAAGCTGGACCTCAACAACAACAGAAATAGCAAAAAGCCTACACACACATGGAAACTGAACAACTTGCTACTAAATGACAGCTGGGTCAGGGAGGAAATAAAGAAAGAAATTAAAGTCTTCCTAAAACTCAATGAAAATGAAGACACAACATACCCAAAATTATGGGACACAATGAAAGCAGTGCTAAGAGGAAATTTCATAGCACTAAGTGCCTTCAAGAAGAAATTCGAGACATCTCATTCAAGCAACTTAATGGCTCACTTAAAAACCCTAGAAAAAGAAGAAGCAGACACAGCAAAAAGGAGTAGATGGCTGGAAATAATCAAACTCAGGGCTGAAATCAATCAATTAGAAACAAATAAAACAATTCAAAGAGTCAATAAAACCAAGAGCTGGTTCTTTGAGAAAATCAACATGATAGACAAACCCTTAGCCAAGCTAACTAAAAGGCAGAGAGACTCCACCCAAATCAACAAAATCAGAAATGCAAAGGGGGACATAACTACAGACACTGAGGAAATCCAAACAATCATTAGGAATTACTTCAAAAGTCTCTACTCAACAAAATTTGAAAATCTAAATGAAATGGACAATTTTCTTGATCGATTTGACTTACCAAAGCTGAATCAGGAACAGGTAAATCAACTAAATAGTGCTATATCCTCCAAGGAAATAGAAGCAGTCATCAAAAGTCTCTCATCCAAAAACATTCCAGGACCAGATGGTTTCAGCGCAGAATTCTACTAGACCTTCAAAGAAGAGCTAACTCCAATTCTCTTCAAACTATTCCACAAAATAGAAACAGAAGGAACATTACCAAACTCATTCTATGAAGCCACAGTCACCTTAGTACCTAAACCTCACAAAGACCCAACAAAGAAAGATAATTTCAGGTCAATCTCCCTTATGAACATTGATGCAAAAATATTCAACAAAATACTTGCAAACCGAATACAAGAACACATCAAAGATATCATCCACTATGACCAAGTAGGCTTCATCCCAGGTATGCAAGGGTGGTTCAGTGTACGGAAATCCATCAATGTGGCCCACCATATTAACAAAGTGAAAGAAGAAAAACCCACATGATAATCTCCCTAGATGCTGAAAAAGCATTTGAAAAATCCAACATCCATTCATGTTTAAAGTATTGGAGAGATCAGGGATACAAAGCACATATCTAAACATAGTAAAGGCGATATAGAGCAAGCCTATAGTCAACATCAAATTGAATGGAGAGAAACTTAAAGCAATCCCACTGAAATCAGGGATAAGACAAGGCTGCCCACTCTCTCCATATCTCTTCAACATAGTTCTGGAAGTCCTTGCTAGAGCAATAAGACAGTTGAAGGAGATCAAGGGGATACAGATGGGAAAGGAAGAAGTCAAATTATCACTATTTGCAGATGATATGATAGTATACATGAGTGACCCTAAAAACTCTACCAGGGAACTCCTACGGCTGATAAACACCTTCAGCAAAGTGGCCAGATACAAAATTAACTAAAAAAAAAAATCAGTAGCCCTACTGTATACAAAAGACAAATGGGCTGAGAAAGAAATTAGGGAAACAACACCTTTCACAATGGCCACAAATGACATAAAGTACCTTGGAGTAACCCTAACCAAGCAAGTGAAAGACTTGTATGAAAAAAATTTCAAGACTCTGAAGAAAGAATTAGAAGAAGATATCAGAAGATGGAAAGATCTCCCATACTCATGGCTTGGCAGAATTAACATAGTAAAAATGGCCATCTTACCAAAAGGAATCTTCAGATTCAATGCAATTCCCATCAAATTACCAACACAATTCTTAACAGTCCTGGAAAGGAAAGTTCTCAACTTCATATGGAATAACAAGAAACCCAGAATTGCTAAAACAATCCTCTACAATAAAAGATCTTCTAGAGTTATCTCCATCCCTGATCTTAAGCTGTACTATAGAGCAACAGTTATAAAAACTGCATGGTACTGGCATAGAAACAGAATGGTGGATCAATGGAACTGAACAGAAGAAATAAACCCACACACTTATGGACACCTGATCTTTGACAAAGATGCCAAAACCATTTAATGGAAAAAAGATAGCATCTTCAACAAATGGTGCTGGTCTAACTAGATGTCTACATGTAGAAAAATGCAAATAGATCCATACTTATCACCCTGCACAAAACTAAAGTCAAAGTCGGTCAAAGACCTCAACATAAAACCAGACACGCTAAACCTGTTAGAAGAAAAAGTGGGGAAAACCCTAGAACTCATTGGTACAGGAGACAACTTCCTGAACAGAACACCAACAGCACAGGCTCTAAGAGCAACAATCAATAAATGGGACCTCATGAAACTGAAAAGCTTCTCTAAAGCAAAGGACACTATCATCAAAACCAAGCGACAGCCTACAGATTGAGAAAGAATCTTCACCAACCCATTTTCTGACAGAGGGCTAATATCCAGAATATATAAAGAAGTAAAGAAGCTGAAAAGCAGCAAACCAAGTAATCCAATTCAAAAATGGGGAACAGAGCTAAACAGAGAACTCTCTGTAGAGGAATATCGAATGGCAGAGAAACACTTAAAGAAATGCTCAACCTCATTAGCCATTAGGAAATGCAAATCAAAACAACCCTGAGATTTTACCTTATACCTATCAGAATGTCCAAGATGAAAAATTCAAGTGACAACACATGCTGGAGAGGTTGTGGAGAAAGGGGAACCGTCCTCCACTGTTGGTGGGAATGTATACAACCACTCTGGAAATCAATCTGGCGCTTTCTCAGACAACTAGGAATAGCGCTTCCTCAAGATCCAGCCATACCACTCCTAGGCATATATCCAAAAGAGGCTCAAGTACACAATAAGGACATTTGCTCAACCATGTTTGTAGCAGCTTTATTTGTAATAGCCAGAGGCTGGAAACAGCCCAGATGCCCCTCAACTGAGGATTGGATGCAGAAATTGTGGTACATCTACACAATGGAGTATTATTCTGCAATGAAAAATAAGGAAATCATGAAATTTGCAGATAAATGGTGGGACCTGGAAAGGATCATCCTGAGTGAGCTGTCCCAGAAGCAGAAAGACACACACGGTATATACTCACTCATATAGACATATAACATAGGATAAACCTACTAAAATCTGTACATCTAAAGAAACTAATCAAGAGAGAGGACCCTGACTAAAATGCTCAATCCCCTTCCCGAAAGGCAAAGAGGATGGACATCAGAAGATGAAAACAGGAAACAACCTAGGAACCTGCCACAGAGGGCCTCTGAAAGGCTCTGCCCTGCAGACTATCAAAGCAAACGCTGAGACTTATGGCCAACTGTTAGGCAGAGTGCATGGAATCTTATGTAAGAAGTGGAAAATAGTAAGATATGTTGAGGACAGGAACCCCATAAGGAGAGCAACAGAACCAGAAAATTTGAACACAGGGGTCTTCCCAGAGACTCATACTCCAACCAAGTACCAGGCATGGAGATAACCTAGAACCCCTGCACAGATGTAGCCCATGGCAATTTAGTGTCCAAGTGGGTTACATAGTAATGTGAAGATGGACTGCCTCTGACATAATCTGATTGGCCTGCTCTTTGATCACCTCCCCCTGAGGGGGGAACAGCCTTATCAGGCCACAGAAGATGACACTGCAGCCACTTTTGATGTGATCTGATAGACTAAGATCAGAAGGAAGGAGAGGAAGACCTCCCCTATCAGTGGACTTGAGGAGGGGCATGTGTGAAGAAGGGGGAGGGAGGGTGGGATCGGGAGGGTAGGAAGGAGGGGCTTATGGGGGGATACAAAGTGAATAAAGTGTAATTAATAAAATAAAATTAAATAAAAAATTGTGCATTCCAACAATTAAAATCATTTGAACAACAACAACAAAAAAAATGGCACTCTGATTAAACTGCATTTTACACCCTGCAGGACACCTTGGGCCATCTTGAATTTTACTCTATATTTCACCATCTCCCACCCTTCTTTTTCCTTTACCAACATTCAAGTTCTTTTCCCTCTCTGCTAGCCAAACCAGCAAATGGGTGGGAGAAACAGGGGGAGGCCTTCCTGGTCAGTAGTTCTGATTCTTTGATTTGAAAGGGACAGCACAGTCACTTAAACTTGTTCCAACCTCTTTGCATCTTCCAAAGTTAAACAGCTGAAAGAAGTAAAATCAGAAGGCGATGCTTGTGGAATCTACAGTGCATATTGGCGGCGCTCGCCTCATTATGATTCGTCAGCTTGCTTCTCCTGTTCAGTCGTTTCTTTTGAAGGCAGAGGATTTTTCTCTTGTGTTTCTGTCTTCTTCAAATTCGACTTATCGAATTTCTCGATCTCAGCCATATCGGGTTTGTCAGACATGGTTGCCGGAAGGAGCCAAGTGAGGAGCACCAACAAGGAGAGTCTGGCCTGCTCAGAAGCCGCCGCCAATTGTCAGAGGAGTGCTTTTGAGAAACACACCTGACTTGGCATTGGTTGATGGCTTAATTCTCAACCAGAGAGGAGCCTTTGCTTTGTTTAATGGCTCCTGAAATGTTGACATGCAGGAGAGCACAGAGCAGTACTCTTTCTTGTTTGTGCTCCTCTTTCTAAAACCACAAGAAATTGTTTTAAGAAAGTTGTAATGAAATGCATCTGTCACTTATTAAGATGGATAGCTGGAGTGCAGTTTTCCATTACTGGGAATGGCAGAATCAGATTAGGAAATAACAGTCCTCAGCATCTTCTCCGCATAATGTGTTGGGGAAAATGCCACTTTAAGAGAAAGCTGCGATTGTGAGGGCCAGGGATCTTTCCCCAAAGGGGCTGTGTTTACCAGTGAGCTTTCCCAGCCCCTTTGGAAGTGAAGGGACTGTGCTAGGGAGTGGGGCCTCCTTGTACTGGCTGTTTCTGGGAGTTTGGAGGCTGGGGCTGGGTTTCATGGTTGAAGGCACTCAAACACCTACCTGTTCCTGTGCCATGTACATCTATCTCTAAATTAGAAATTTTTGCTTTAGAGTTAGTTTCATTCCTTAGTTTATATTGAACCAAGTTGGACCCAGTCACTAAGCAGTGGGTGTCTTCTATGCGGCCAGCCTCTTTTCTGATAGGGTTGCTAGCCAGAATGAAGGATTGATTATATCTGCTTCATCTGGCTACAATGTTGAGATGAAGATGCAGCAAATAAAGCAGTTTCACACCATCAGGATAATAAAACAAATCAACAAAGTTAGGAGTGGATGGGGAAAGAGATTATTTGATAGGATAAAATACCTTTCACAATCCATGAAACCTGGGCCGTTATTTCCAGATTATTATTGTGTTTTTATGTCTCCAGGGAGGTAACTGCACAGATTTTAAAAAAAATGGTTAAAGAGGATGTTTGAATCACTTAATTTGTCTTCCGTCTAAACTGAGGAATCTGATCCTCCACATCCTGGTGAGTGGGCTAGCCTTCTAGTAACGCCGAGGGTTGGTTTAGGTTGCTCTCAGTAAGAAACCAAACCAGCTCGCCATTCTTGTGCATTAGTGACTTTTACTTTGCTGTAAGCTTACAGAGCAGCTTAAGGGAGGAGAGAGCTTTCTCGTGGCTTCCGTCCACTGTGGTAAAGGTGTGTGTGGTGGAGTTCATGGCACTAAGAGCTCCTCAGATCTTGGTGGCCAGGAAGCACAGTGCCTCACCAGAGCCAGAAGCAGATGCCACTCCAAGGCCCACTTCTGCTAGACAGACCACATTCCCAAATGTTCCACAACCTTTTGAACTGCATCACTAACTGGAAATCAAGGGTCCAAACACACGAACTTATGGAGGACATTTGACATTCAAACCACAAGAGCTTGTTCATTCAGATCATCTTTCAGCAAACATTTGTGAGGCCTCTAACCATACTAATTGTTCAAGGGTAAGACACTGCCCACCTCAGGCACGCCACGTACAGAAAACTTGGTGGTGTTTGAGAGGACTGTGGAGCAGCACTAGGTGAACAACCGATACACGCTCACTGGGAACGCCAAGCCGCTCCCCTCTCTACTGAAATGCTAGGGGTCTCTTGAGTAGCCAACAGCCTCTGTTTTCTCCTTCCTCTGAGACAGATGTGGCAGACCAGTCAAGAGCTCCGTCCAGGTTCCCAAGAGATCAGTGAACGAGATGCATGGTGCTGTCAGCATCCATTCATTTTCTTGTTTATGAAAAGTTTTCGTACACCTTGTGGTGTTATCTCCTTATCTTGCAAAGTGGGTAGTACACGCATGATCAGGAAGATGAGGCTTGTGGTTGCCATTAATATTCGTTTCTAATTATTTCAGCTGTTTCACTTTTTGGGTATAATTATTTTGAACACTGTGTCTGTGTGAGGTGCTCTGGCTATTGGAATGTATGATGGAGGATCACTTTTCTTGGAAGTAGAAGTTCCAAGTGGACCTTCTCAGTGGAGTTTATGTGTCCATCACCATCACACTGATAACCACAGGTATCAAAGACCACCATTGCTCCATATTCAATGTACAGTGTGAGTATGAGCTCAACTTCTATATTAAGCAACTAACATTCTTAAGTTTTCCATAGATTATGCTTCCTCACTGGAACCTGCTATCATGTATGGAAGAAGAGCCCTTCACTGCTGAAATGGTCTAGTGGTTAGGACATTCTCTCTTCTAGGCTGAAACAGAATCTGCCTTCCTGCCACCTCCCCGAACGATTCATTCTTCTTTCTGGAAAATCCAGGGATCAGATTACCCATCCTCTGCACGTCAGCTTTTCACACACTGTGACAGCTGTCATAGTCCCCCCGAGCTCTGTTCTCCAGGAAAATGTGACTGATAACCTCAGATGGGTTCTTGGATGACATGGTTCCCAGACGCCTCATTATTCTTGTTCCTAGTCTCCAGATCCACCCTGACTCACCAGTGTAACCTAAATGGGGCATCAGTGTTTTCATGCTGCATCTATTATAAAGAAGCCTTTGCAATTTTATTCGCAGAAACTAAAATGAAAAGACAAATATAAAAAGATTTTGTAATCTTTCAAGACAAAGATAACCATCTACATGCATCTTCAAACCTTTCAATGGATCCCTAACTATGTCTAAGGTGAAGACCCTAGAAGACCCTGACTCATCTGATGCAGGCTTTCTTTCGTGGTGTCGTCTTTCCTGAGGGTCCCTGTGTGGTTTGCCCATTTGCCCTCCCATGCTTTTTCTCCCCAGCTTTTCTTGTCACACCCTAAAAATGCATTCCCAGATTCCCATATCAGCCAGGCTCCACCAGCCTCGGCTCACTGAAGGCACTGATGAGACATGAAGAGTAGGAGGGGATTACCACCCGCCCTCTCCTACCTCAGATAGTGTGGTTTCCTGTTCCTTCCCTGGCTCCCACCAGGAAGTCATTGCTACAATGTGGCCCCAGCCAGATTAATTCAGCGAAAGCTATGATTGTACTTGGTCTCTGGCTTCCTGCAATCCTGGTGGCTGAGTTGCTTCCCGGTCTCCTGGTTGTCTTAACTTTTCCACTGTAGTTGTTAAAAATTACATCCATTACAATCTCCTTGATTTGAGAAGCCTTGAGAGGATTCTGTTTCCCTGATTTTATCAGCTACCCAGCATTTTACTCTCTAATTTCAGTGAACAACTTTTCAGTTCTCAAGATGAATCTGCTTCTCTCTTGCATGCTCGATATAGTTTCCTCTTCTCACTGTCTTCTGTTCACTCTTCATGCCTCAGCATAGACTTGTCTCTTGCTCACTTTTCTTTTTCAGTACATTTATTAACTGCTGTTTCTCTTTGTAATTACCCAGTTTTGTGCTTGGCTTATAGAAGGTGCCCAATGAATAACTTAAATGACATTAATTAGCAGCATATGGGAAATATGGTGATGGCCCTGGTATTATACATTTTGAGAGGTCAGATGAGTACTTTGGTTACTGTCAGCAATGTCTGGAATTCTTGGATAATAAGGCTGTTTTGGTGAGGCTTCACGTGTGGCTTTAGTGTATACAGTGGTCTCTGTTCTCTTGATTTATGGTTGAGCTCCTTGGAATCAAGTGATCAGATAAAGAACTCTTTCTGAGGTTTCCACCCTCAAAGGGTAAAATCTTTGATTGTATGAGGTATCACTTGCTAATGGCCCAGTGTTCTTTAAGAATGCTGATGAAGATAGGGTAGGGTCAGATAGTAGAGGAGGAAGACCTCCCCTATATCAGTGGACTAGGGGAGGGGCATAGGGAAGGAAAGAGAAAGAGAGTGGAGCCAGGAGGAGATGAGTAAAGAGGCTACAACTGGGATACAAAGTGAATAAATTATGATTAATAATAATATTATTATTAAAAAGAATGCTGATGAAACAGGATGTCAGTAAGAGCATTCTCTGGTGTTTAAGTTACTCTGAAGGTTTGGCCAGTTTCCCTGGCTTTGGATCCCACCATGGTTGTCAGGCATATTCTTTAAAACAATAAAGACAAGCAGCTTTCCAGTGGGCTCTGTCATATCTGCTATCCATGAAATATATGGACTTGTATTTTCTTTCTTGATAACTTAGTTGATTCCAATGATAAGTTGGTCTTTAAGAACAGGCAATATTTCCTGAAACCACTATCTAAGGATTGAGGGCAAGGGAAACCATTCTCCCTTGTATATAGGGTGTAACCAGGAGTTCTAAGTTGAGTTTTTATATTGTAAGTACCATTTTCCCTTTCAAAAAGGATGCCTCTTGTTGCCATGTTGGCCCTATATTGCTGCCTCCCAAGCTCTAAGGCATAATCACATCTAGGTAAATGATGATCTGTTAAATCTGGACAAAATTTAACCTTGGGAACTTGTGAAAGCTCCTATCCATCTCAGAAGATCCCATCATGCAGTCATAAATTGTGAGTCTAAGCAGATGTAATTGGGAACCCCTGGACCTTGTACCCTGGAAGCCATATGCAAGTTCTTGTCCAACAGTAGAACAAAGGCTTCAAGTAGGCATGAAAGGAGGTTGATAATGCCTCTACAGTGAAGGTGTCTCTGGTGAGCATTAATGAGATGACTCATTTTGTTTGGAAAGATGTTATGACCCTTTAAAAATAGGGATTCTATTCAGAGTAGAGTGATTGGTGAGAAGAACAAGAGTAATGAATGTTGGGTCTGCTTCAATACAGAGGTGCTGACTTATGAGGAATTTGAGTCTATCCTGCATGGGGCATGCTCATCCATCCTTTGACAGATCAAATAAAGCCCCCAGATTTTGCTGAAGTGGTAGAGTCTTGAATCTTTTGAGACATAATGGCTCAGCCCCAGTTGGAAAAGTTCTGTGACAAATAGTTATATATTCCGTGTGCATATGTCCTTTAAATGTCCTTGGAGGTTGCCATCAGTGTAATGTCTTCCTGATGCTATTGGAAGAAGTTGAATATAGTT